GTTCTCGAGCACTAGACTGATGGAGCTGTGTGACAAGTCTTGTCAGGAGGAAACTGAGGCCACTAGCATGGCCCTCCCGGAAGACATTGATCTTCTGGAAGATGATGTCCAGGAGGCCAGTGTGGAGAAGCTTTCTCATGAGGCTTCCTTGCGGATGTCAGTTGCCATACAAGACGCAGGGTTAGGTTTAGGGCGTTGCGTGATTGACACAAAGCTTCCTTGGGAACTTCCGGGACTTGAGCTGGTTTTTGGTTCTCGTGCAAGTGTGCTTCCAAAAGCCAGTGATGCCATTTTACCGCAGGCGGTGCCTTTTCCTGTCAGGGAATCTGTTGAAGAGGCATCCTCTTCGCGCGACTGTGCGCATCGTGCAAAGAAGGCCAGAGCAAGCGTCACCCTGGGAGCCTGCTTTCGGGATGTTGTCAATTTCAACCTTGTGGAAACTGACGCTGCGCTTGAAGAAGTCAAATGGACCAGAGCTTTAGAAATGTGGCTATTCGTGATCATGGAGGACTCCAGCTGTTCTGCGATAGGATCACGGATTAGCCGCAAAAACGGAGCTGATGCCATGAAGTGCCTTCGTGAACTCTTCGGGAAGAAAGCATCCAGTACCGTCGCAAAGCGTGGGAGTGCAATGCAGAAGTTCGTTGTGTGGGTACACAAAGCTTGCCCAGGCGAGTGTGCCCTGCCTATCACTTCAAAGCGTGTCGATGATTACATCGAGCAACTACAGGAAGCTAAGGTCCGACCTGGATCTTTCACAAGCTTTACTGAAGCTGTCAATTTCTCAGTGCATGTCGTTGGCTTGCCTTTCGATTGTGACGGATCTCTGAGGAACCCTTTCTCAGGAAAGCAGTTGTTCAGTCCTTGGGCTCGTGGGGCTGTTGCGCTGGAGATACAGAAGAAAGCAGAGAGGAGGCAGAGCGCTGTCCTAACCACTGACAGCGTTCTTTACCTTGAGGCTTTCTTGAGCGACGAGGATGAAGATTTAGTCGACCGTTACGCTGCAGGATGCATGCTCTTCGGTTTGTTCAGCCGTAGTCGCATTAGTGATCTCAGAAAGGTCAAGGATTGGATTTTGGATTTTGATTGTTTGCAAAGCCACGGGCAAGGTTTCCTTGAGTGCAGCACTCGCAGTCACAAGACTGAGAAGGACGTCGCGGCCATTGGTCTTGCCATGCCCCTTGTTGCACCGGCTGTCGGCCTAGGTAAGGTGAGCTGGGCTGTTACATTCAGCAAGGTTGCTTCTGCAGTAGGTTTGGGATTCGTAGGTCGGCCTGAGGGGCCTTTGCTGCCCGCTCCGGACGTTACCGGAGGATGGTTGTCCAGGTCGGTGACCACCTCCGAAGCTGGGGCTTGGCTCTGCAAGATTCTTGATAAGGGAGGGCAGCCATCCCAAGGGATCACAGGTCACAGCTTGAAAAGCACTACACTGACCTGGGCCTGTAAGTTTGGTTTCGATAAGTATTCCCGGTTACAACTTGGACACCATGCCACTGGCGAAGGAACATTGCACACCTATGGCCGAGATTACTTGGCGCCTGCCCTCAGGCGCTATGATGAAATGTTGGCTGCAATCAGAAACGGAACATTCTTCCCGGACCTTACGCGCTCGGGTCGCGTGCGAGGCACTGCACAGGTTCCGAAGGTGGAGGTCTCTGATGATGAAGTGCCTGATCCCGGGTTGACCAGCTTCGCTTCAGAAGGTTCTTTTGAGGCCATTGGTGTAGCATCCGCCGGAGAGAAGAGTGAAGAAGATCAGGTTGCAGCACCCACTGACCATGAGCTGTCCTCCTCGGACAGCAGTAGCTCGCAGGACGAAGTCGTTGCAGGCAGGGACCACCCCGACTTGGACAACGACGAGATGGCGTGTGCAGTCGCCCGTCCCAAGCCAAGTTGGGAACCTGGATATGTCATGTACAAACATGTTAGGACACAGGTCGTTCATCTTTGCGCACAAGGCAGTTCGACCGGAGTTTTTGCGTGTGGGCGGAAGGTGACGTCCGATTTCAAGGAGGTCGCCCAAACTAAATTTTTGTCGTTTCGGAAGTGCAAGACCTGTGAAGGGGCAAAGCCGCTCCGCGATCCAGGAGCATTGGCCGAGGCCGTTAACGCTATGATGCAGCGAAAGTCGGCTGCAGAGAGTTTGTGAAGGTGCACTTGAAAGGCATCGCCTGAGAAAATACAGGGCAGACGACTTGTGGTTTGCAAAGCGAATGTCTGTTTGTGGAGAGTGACCGATGGGACTACGTGGCCGAGACGTGCCGGCCGCAAGACTTACCACCAACTTGAGCGCGCCTACATGTTCCTGTGCTCAAGAGGGCCGAGTGAACGTGCACTGCGGCTGCGCCGAGATGTGCCGGTGCCGAAGGGTTTATACATCACATGCAAGATTGCTATGGCTTCTAGGTCTTGACTGGAATACAGGATGGAATGATGAATATGCGTTCAGTTGGGAAACACTGCTTCCTAAACTGCGTGCCTTCGTACGAGCCTGTGTTTCGGAATATCATCTTTTCGATAGCGCTGTGCCAGTACCGAGTTTAGCTGTTTTGAGCCGTGCCAGTGCCATGACCTCTCTTACCGAGAGCCGAGCGGCCTTCGAGGATCGTGCGGCCGAGGTCGGATTGTCTGCCGACGACATCGCGGCCCTCACTGGATCCGGCATCCACAGTCTAGCCCGTCTAGCTTTTGCGGCAGTGCCGCCAGGGGCTACGCCTTCCAATGATCAGGTCCGCGAGCTTTTTGGTACTCGAGTAATCAACGCTGGTGTCGTCGCTGCCACAAAGCGACTGATCTTTGAGGCTCACACGATGGTTGTTGCAGATCTTAAGCAGAAAGTTGAAAAAGGGGATGATCCAACATCCCAGCGACTGAATCCTGCTGAGCGCGAAGCTCGCATCACAAGGCAGCGGGCCCGGCTCACAGGGTTAACGCACCGTGGAGTGGAAGAGGTCGCATTCGAGGCGTACAATTTGGTGTACGGCATGTTGCAACAAGACACGCTTGTGTACCAGCATCCAAACAAATTCACCACGCGTCAGCATGAACTTCAGCTTAAGAAGGCGGTGAAGGAGGTTTCGTTGGATGGGAGTGGCTCCTTGACAGTGCGAGACAAGCCGCAGCAGGCCACATGTGATACCCACGGAGAGCTGGAGCTGGTTCAAGCGCTCCGCCGAAGGGCGCTCGCATTCGACCTCGTAGGCTGCTGCTCTTACGATGCTATGAACATGTATCATAGCCTGCTCATCCAGCGAGTCCAGGACGCGCCGCCGCCTAACTACGCAAAGGTTAGTGTGGTTCAGGCACTCCGCGCAGACAGAGCGGCTTTCACGAGGATCGCTGAGAAGGTGCGTAGCCTGAAGACAGGCGCGGATGGGGTCCGTCCATTGGACCGTGCCTTCGAGAACATTCTCGATGACACACATGTCAGCTTTCATCTTCTGCCACTTGCCATTCCCGAAAAACCTAAGCACCCGCCGCCTCCGCTCAAAAGGAAGGTCGAGGATCAGCAGGCCGATGACAAAGGGAATAAGCCAGGTAAGAAGGGCAAAGGCACAGGGAAAGGTAAGAAAGGTGGTGCTAGGCTGCGTGTGCCGAAGGAGTTGATTGGAAAGTGGAGCCAGAACAAAGATGGTGAACGCTTGTGCTGGGCATTTAATATGCAGTGCGGCCGTGGAGACGCCGCCCCGGGGAGTGCATGCTCGCGCGGGCTGCACTTATGCGCAGAGCCGGGATGCTTGCAGCCTCACTCTCTTCAGGAGCATCACAAGAAAAGCGGCGCTTGAGGGCCGGGGGCCCCTGAGCTTCGGACTGGGAAGGAGCGAGTGTCCTTCCTTGGACGTGCCACTGAACGTGTGGCCAAACTCAGCATCGCTGAAGCATTTTGCATTCAGGTTTGCTCAGGGGCCGGGAGGTTCACTGCGGCTCTTCGTGCATGTGGAATGAAAGATTCTTTTGCTGTGGATGCGCGGGTCGAGGGAGCTGTGTGTCCTATTGTATCACTGGACCTTAGCACTGCTGAGGGCCAAAAACACTTCCTTTCGCTTCTTAATGAGCCTAACCTGGTCTATGTGCACATGTCACCGCCGGCTGGTACTGCCACTCGCGGTGCCGGGCTTCGTGATGACTTGCATCCGCATGGGCTTTCTTCCTTGAGAGGTGCAGACAAAGTTCGGGTCAACCAGGCCAACCGCTTGTTCGAATTTTGTGCTCGTGCCTGCAAGATAATGTACATGCGAGGGATTTTATTTTCAGTTGAAGGACCTCTTCAGTCATTTTTGTGGGCCACCAAGTGGTGGCGAGATTTCTTCACAGACGTACCAATTTTCGCCACAACCTTGCACCAGTGCATGTTTGGCCACTCCCGAAAGAAGGCGACCCTGTTGGTGCACACACTGCCTGCCTTCCTTTGCCTTCAACGCACTTGCGACGGCAAGCATTCGCACGCTTCTTGGGATTTCGCTAAGTCCTCTGCCGAGCTTAGTTATCCTTGGGCTCTCGCACGAGAGATGTCCACTTTGCTGCGAAAACAATTGCTTGATCTGGGTTGTGCCGACGCGCCGTAGTCCTTGCACGAGCTTGATAACCTAGTGACCGGAGCCCGCGTGTATTCCGGAGTTCAGGCCAGCAAACGCGTCTTGCCATTGGTCTCAGAGTTCAAAAACCGGGTCATGGTTTCAGGGTGTTGCGATCCCGCTTGTGTCAGTGGCCTTGAGCGCCGGAAAGTCCTAACGGAGGATTGGACTCCCCCTGCCGGGTCCACTCTGTCGGTGGACCTGCTCTCCATTCCTGCTGGAAGCAAGGTCCTTAGCATCTCCACACAAGGGGTGCAGCCAGATGCCGAAGGGGTACATAGTCATCCTGAGGTTAGTCCCGCTTGGGTTCCTTTGCCGCCTGCTCCCTTTTGTCCTAAGCCTCAGGTAGGTTTAGCGAGTTCGGGAGTGTTGGCGCAACCACCGCCTGCCGATGCGCAGAAATGTGAACATCTAGCTTACGAAATTATGTCGCGCCGCCAGCCTGGTGAGCTCACGGCCGATGACATGTTCGAAGTCCTGTCACAGACACCCGAAGTCCTTCCAGCCAGGGCCCGAGGTATCCAAACGGAGGACTCGCACCAGTGGTTCTCCGGAGGCTACAGCCATGGTCCAATGGTCGGTGTCCGAAACTCAACTCTGCGCTGCCCTTGGACCACCGCCTTGGCATGCCGGTATGTACGCGAGCAAGCTCCGTGGCACAGGTTTGGAGCGATAGCATTCACGGTGAACCTTTTGGCTGAGCCACATGTGGATGCTCATAACGACCCTAGCTCTAACAACCTTGTGCTGCCTATTACGTCGTTCAAACGAGGTGGCCTGTGGCTTGCTGACAAAGCAGGCAGCTCGCCGAGGACCATAGACGGCACACGAGTGATGGGCACGGTGCTTTCCTTTGACGGCGGGGGAATTTGCTTCAACCCACGTGTGCCTCATGCGACTGAGCGCTGGGAAGGAGATCGTGCTGTACTAGTTGCATTCCTCCCGGGAGGTTTGGACGAGCTCGAGCAATGTGACCGGGCGATCATGGACGAGCTCGGCTTCGTCACATCTGCTTGTGCCACTACCAATGCAGCCTCACAGCCCGTGAAGTTTACAGCTGAGTTTGGTGTCAGGTGGTCGCCCGAGGAGTTCGTCGAGCAGGCGTGCAATGTTGAACACCCCAGCAGCCTTTCGAACCTGCTCCCAGCAGACCTTGAAACCGCTGTTCGTAAAAACTTTGAGTTGGGCGAGCACGCATTGGGGCAGCATCGGACCGAGCTGATCAGAAAGTGAATTGCACGGGCGAACTCCCTCGTTGGTGAAGAGGATGCGCTGCGAAAGGGAATGTCCGATAACCGGCGTCACATCCTTGCACAAAAACGCCTGATCCTGTTCAGGACCCTTCTTGAGGATGCCGAGCACGCTGACCAAGGCCTCTTCAACGACTTAGTGCAAGGGTTCGACCTAGTTGGTAAGTTGCCTGAAAGTGGATTCTTCAAGAAGAAATTCAGACCAGCCAGCATGCTCGAAGCAGACTTGCGACAAGGTGCTGATCGTGCAAGGGAAGCCACTCTGGCGACTCTTGGGCCAGCGGATGATCCTGTCATCGACGAAGGTGTGCTGCAAGCGACCCTTAAGGAAGTAGACGCCGGTGTAGTCGAGGGACCCATAGACCCCAGCACGCTTCCTGAGGGAGCCACGCTTACCCGCCGTTTTGGTGTGGTTCAGGGAGAGGTTGATGGCGCGCCCAAGGTGCGGCCAATCGATAATTATAGGGCCTCTAGAGTTAATGCTGCCGTGACGCAATCGGAGCAAGTCACGGTCCACACTCTTGACGTGGTGGCGGGCATGATTTCGTCTTGGCTAGCCCGCGCCAAGGCCCATCGTGTCCGGTCTGCGATGAATGCCAAAACGTGGGACCTTAAGGCTGCGTATAAACAACTGCCTCTCAGTGACACCGCATTTGCTCGAGATGCCTACTTCGTGATCTACGACCCAAGGAGCCAGAAGCCCGCTGTGTTCAAGCAGCGGGCTCTCCCTTTCGGATCGCGAGCTTCAGTTACGGCGTTCATCAGATGCGCAGTGGCCGTCTGGACGGTAGCAGTCAAGTTGCTGTTCCTAGTTTGGTCCGTCTATTTCGACGACTACCTTAGCATCGCCCGCAGCAGCGAAGCAAAGCACGTCGAGCTGGTAATCAGTGTGTATTTTAGGCTCCTTGGGTGGAAGGTTTCCACCGATAAGCTTCTCCCCTATTCCACTTGCTGTAAGGTGTTAGGGATTGAGCTTGATGTGGGAAACGCCATTCGGGGTTACGCCTTGTTGAAGAATACCCTGAAACGCCGAAACGAAATCATTGCTTCTCTTGAAGAGGTTCTCGATCGGGGCAGCATTGACGCGACGACGCTTGAAAAGATTCGAGGGCGAGCCCAGTTCGCAAGTGGCCAGTTGTTCGGCAGACTGGCGCGGCAGGCGCTTCACTGTTTGTCGGACAAGCCTTCGAAGAGCTTCTGTGTGTCCGAGCGCTTCAGGTGGGGTGCCACTCACCTTGTAGAGCTTTTGCAGAGTGGTTGCTCCAGAGTCGTTTCTAGGGACTTAGGTGATAACCGCCTTGTTTTTGTAGACGCTTCCTTCGAGCCGTCCGGGCACAGTGGGCTTGGAGGCGTCTGCTACGATGCCGACGGGAGAATCTTAAGTTGGTTTGGGGCGACCGTCCCTAGTGACTTGATTAAGGTTCTGCTGAGTTGCTTCGGGCGCGACAGAGAGACAGTGATCTTTGAGCTAGAAGCTCTTGCAGTGGTAGTGGCACTTGAGCTTTTTAAATGTCACCTGTCTCAGAGGAACGTTGTAGTGTACACGGACAACTCAGGTGTGCACGGCGCGTTCGTGAAGTGCTGGTCAGAAAACCCAGTAGGCAGTGCGATGGCTTTCCTGGCAGCCAAGCGTGAGTTTGACTTACAGGCCTTCTTTTACTACGACCGTGTGCCGTCGCACAGCAACCCAGCTGATGCGCCTTCTCGAGGTGTGTACTCAATGGGCCAGGATCTCCGTGCCGAATGTTCGGCAGACGTTCTGACGGAGACCCTTAAGTGCGCCCTCAGTACATAGCCACGTTTTACAGGGGCGGCCAACGTGGGCACTCGTCACTCGTCTCCCCAGTCTGTGAAAAAGAGAGTGGCGCGTCTTCGACTGCATATGAATGTATATTTGGTTGACGATTCTTTTTATATTCCGAAAGATATTGGAGTCTGTGTTTCACATATCAATTCGTTTAATTTCTCACGCCCGGTGTTTTGCACAAAGGGAAAATAAGAACTATCTCCGCGCGTGCACGGATGAGTTTTTATTTTCCCTGCAAAACAAATTTATTTCGCTTTCGAAATAAATTATGGCATGTGTGTGACTGTCTCATGTGAGCTATGTTAAGAGTGTTTCTCACGAAACATTTCTGCTCAAGGGAGAGGTGGGTGGGACCCCCAAAGTTTTGTAGAATTTTTCGTCCCGCCCGCCCAAGTCCCATCGTTCGGAGAGGTGCTCCAACGTGGTCTCACAGAGAAAGTGCTCTCGCTGGAACGTGCCGTAGTTTCCTTTAATTTGCGAACCGTTGCCCTGGGCCCTAAGCCCGGCCAACGTGGGCACTCGTCTCCCCAGTCTGTGAAAAAAGAGAGTGGCGCGTCTTCGACTGCATATGAATGTATATTTGATTGACGATTCTTTTTATATTCCGAAAGATATTGGAGTCTGTGTTTCACATATCAATTCGTTTAATTTCTCACGCCCGGTGTTTTGCACAAAGGGAAAATAAAACAGTTGTTTACTTTTTCGTGGCCTAAATGATGTGTTTGGGCTCTAGGGTAGCTAACTACTTATCTGGCATATGTAGCAAACAGCGCACCCAAAACAGTTATTAACCTTTTCGTGGCCTTAATGATGTGTTCGGCGAAGCTGCCGGCTTTCGCAGTACACGGCAACTATCATCCAACCAACATTTGGTGCTTGGGTGGGGTGGGGATGCTCGCGAGGCAAAACAGTTGTTTACTCTTTCGTGGCCTAAATGATGTGTTTGGGCTCTGGGGTAGCCAAGTACTTGTGTGGCATATGTAGCAAGCAGTGCACCCAAAACAGTTGATAACCTTTCGTGGCCTGAATGATATGTTGGGCGAAGCTGCCGGCTTCCGCAGTTCACGGCAACTATCATCCAACCAACATTTGGTGCTTGGGTGGGGTGGGGTTGTCGCGAAGCAAAGCAGTTGTTAACTTCTTCGTGGCCTAAATGATGTGTTTGGGCTCTAGGGTAGCTAAGGTACTTGTGTGGCATATGTAGCAAACAGCGTACCCAAAACAGTTGTTAACTTTTTCGTGGCCTTGATGATGTGTTCGGCGAAGCTGCCGGCTTCGCAGTACACGGCAAGGCTTGCGCGCCTCCTGGCGCCTGGTAGTTTGCAGGTGTTAGAGGGTCAAAATTACAGGTTTTTACAGTGTTCTATGAAAATTGCAATTCAATTACGTTTTAAAAAACTACTTTGATTTACTAATATTTACACTTTTGGATGACGATGATGATGCTAGTGATGCTACTGATGATGATGATGCTGAGAATGACAACGCAGGACTGAGGACTACGGCCACTAGCGTGCCACGGCTTCTGGTAGTGGTCTGCCAGTAGGACTGGTACTAGTACCTAGTAACCCTGTAGTAGTGCTACTATTAGTGCCACTGGTACTGCTACTGCCAGTGCTGGTGCGACTGCTACTGCCGCTGCTGCACTATTAGTGCCACTGGTGCTGGTACTGCTAGTGCTACTGCTACTGCTACTGCCACTGCTACTGCTACTGCCAACACACGAAAATCGAGCCACTGTTCGGGCCCCCCCCTCACGACCCCCCCGCACCAGTGGAAGAAAATCCTTTGAAAACACACGAAATCGAGCCACACCGTGGGGATTGCGAAACCGGCAAAAATTGCGGTGAAGCATGTCGTGATTGACACCCCCACCATGCCCTGCCCTCCCAGTCGAACAAAAGCACCCGTAAAACGCTCCAAAGTACCGGCACTGCCAGTGTTTTTGTCAACAAGAAGACCATTGCGGTCGACCATGTCGTTGTTAACCCCCCCCCACCCACCCAAAACCTACCCGAAACACTTCAAAACAGATGAAAACACCAGGCGCCAGGAGGCGCGCATGGCCACGACAACTATCATCTAACCAACATTTGGTGCTTGGGTGGGGTGGGGATGCTCGCGAGGCAAAACAGTTGTTGACTTTTTCGCGGCCTAAATGATGTGCTTGGGCTCCAGGATAGCGAAGTATTTGTGAGGCATATGTAGCAAACAGCGCACCCAAAACAGTTGTTAACCTTTTCGTGGCCTTAATGATGTGTTCGGCGAAGCTGCCGGCTTTCGCAGTACACGGCAACTATCATCTAACCAACATTTGGTGCTTGGGTGGGGTGGGGATGCTCGCGAGGCAAAACAGTTGTTGACTTTTTCGCAGCCTAAATGATGTATTTGGGCTGTAGGGTAGCTAAGCACTTGTGTGGCATATGTAGCATAGCAAACAGCGCACCCAAAACAGTTGTTAACCTTTTCGTGGCCTGAATGATGTGTTCGGCGAAGCTGCCGGCTTTCGCAGTTCACGGCAACTATCATCCAACCAACATTTGGTGCTTGGGTGGGGTGGGGATGCTCGCGAGGCAAAACAGTTGTTGACTTTGTCGCGGCCTAAATGATCTGCTTGGGGTGTAGGGTAGCTAAGCACTTGTGTGGTATATGTAGCAAACAGCGCACCCAGAACAGTTGTTAACGTTTTCGTGGGCTTAATGATGTTTTCGGCGAAGCTGCCGGCTTTCGTAGTACACGGCAACTATCATCCAACCAACATTTGGTGCTTGGGTGGGGTGGGGATGCTCGCGAGGCAAAACAGTTGTTAACTTTTTCGTGGCGTAAATGCTGTGTTTGGGCTCTAGGGTAGCCAAGTACTTATATGGTATATGTAGCAAACAGCGCACCCCAAACAGTTGTTAACCTTTTCGTGGCCTGAATGATGTGTTCGGCGAAGCTGCCGGCTTTCGCAGTACACGGCAATTATCATCCAACCAACATTTGGTGCTTGGGTGGGGTGGGGATGCTCGCGAGGCAAAACAGTTGTTAACTTTTTCGTGGCCGAAATGATGTGTTTAGGCTCTAAAGTAGCTAAGTACTTGCGTAGCATATGTAGCAAACAGCGCACCCAAAACAGTTGTTAACCTTTTCGTGGCCTTAATGATGTGTTCGGCGAAGCTGCCGGCTTTCGCAGCACACGGCAACTATCATCCAACCAACATTTGGTGCTTGGGTGGGGTAGGGATGCTCGCGAGGCAAAACAGTTGTTAACTTTTTCGTGGCGTAAATGCTGTGTTTGGGCTCTAGGGTAGCTAAGTACTTCTGTGGCATATGTAGCAAACAACGCACCCAAAAGAGTTATTAACCTTTTCGTGGCCTTAATGATGTGTTCGGCGAAGCTGCCGGCTTTCGCAGTACACGGCAACTATCATCCAACCAACATGTGGCACTTGGGTGGGGTGGGGATGCTCGCGAGGCAAAACAGTTGTTAACTTTTTCGTGGCGTAAATGCTGTGTTTGGGCTCTAGGGTAGCTAAGTACTTGGGTGGCATATGTAGCAAACAGCGCACCCAAAACAATTGTTAGCCTTTTCCGTGTTCGGCGAAGCTTCGCAATACACGGCAACTATCATCCAACCAACATTTGGTGCTTGGGTGGGGTGGGGATGCTCGCGAAGCAAAACAGTTGTTAGCTTTTTCGTAGCCTAAATGATGTGTTTGAGCTCTAGGGTAGCTAAGTACTTGTGTGGCATATGTAGCAAACAGCGCACCCAAAACAGTTGTTGATCTTGTGGTTGCCTTAATGATGTGTTGGGCGAGGTTGCCGGCTTTCCTAGTACACGGCAACTATCATCCAACCAACATTTAGTGCTTGGGTGGGGTGGGGATGCTCGCGAAGCAAAACAGTTGTTAACTTTTTCGTGGCCTAAATGATGTGTTTGGGCTATAGGGTAGCTAAATACTTGTGTGGCATATGTAGCAAAAAGCGCACCCAAAACAGTTGTTAATTTTTCGTTGCCTTAATGATGTGTTCGACGAAGCTGCCGGCTTTCGCAGTACACGGCAACTATCATCCAACCAATATTTGGTGCTTGGGCGGTGTGGGGATGCTCGCGAGGCGAAACAGTCGTTAACTTTTTCGTGGCTTAAATAAAGTGTTTGGGCTCTAGGGTAGCTAAGTACTTATGTGGCATATGTAGCAAACAGCGCACCCAAAACAGTTGTTAACCTTTTCGTGGCCTTAATGATGTGTTCGGCGAAGCTGCCAGCTTTCGCAGTACACGGCAACTATCATCCAACCAACATTTGGTGCTTGGGTGGGGTGGGGATGCTCGCGAGGCAAAACAGTTGTTAACTTTTTCGTGGCCTAAATGATGTGTTTGGGCCCTGGGGTAGCTAAGTACTTGTGTGGCATATGTAGCAAACAGCGCACCCAAAACAGTTGTTAACCTTTTCGTGGCCTTAATGACGTGTTCGGCGAAGCTGCCGGCTTTCGCAGTACACGGCAACTATCATCCAACCAACATTTGGTGCTTGGGTGGCGTGGGGATGCTCGCGAGGCAAAACAGTTGTTAATTTTTCCGTGGCATAAAACATGTGTTTGGGCTCTAGGGTAGCTAAGTACTTGTGTGGCATATGTAGCAAACAGCGCACCCGGAACAGTTGTTAACCTTTTCGTGGCCTTAATGATGTGTTCGGCGAAGCTGCCGGCTTTCGCAGTACACGGCAATTATCATCCAACCAACATTTGGTGCTTGGGTGGGGTGGGGATGCTCGCGAAGCAAAACAGTTGTTACTTTTTCGTGGCATAAATGATGTGTTTGGGCTCTAGGGTAGCCAAGTACTTGTGTGGCATATGTAGCAAACAGCGCACCCAGAACAGTTGTTAACCTTTTCGTGGCCTTAATGATGTGTTCGGCGAAGCTGCCGGCTTTCGCAGTACACGGCAACTATCATCCAACCAACATTTGGTGCTTGGGTGGGGTGGGGATGCTCGCGAGGCAAAGC